TTCCTCCGTAAGCCATGCGTGTTGTAAAAGTCAACTAAAATGCCGGGAACAATGGGCAAGTAACCTCTTTTCCTGTAAAGATTACTAAAAAGAATAAGAAGAAAATTGTCAAAGTGGGAAGTCTGAATGTGCGTGGATGTTGTGCAAATGATAAGAAAGAGATGATTTTGGATGTTATGAATGAGAAGAAACTGGATGTCCTGGCTTTAAGTGAAACAAAGCAGAAAGGGATGGGATAGTTTCAGTGGAGAGGAATAAATGGGATTAGGTCAGGGGTTTCTAATAGATTTAGAGCTAAAGAAGCAGTAGTAATAATGTTGAAGGATAAGCTATGGCAAGAAAAGAAGGACGATAAACGTATTAATTCAAGAACTATGTGGAGTAAAATAAAGGTTGGATGTGAAAAGTGGGTTATAGTAAGCGTATATGCACCTGGAGAAGAGAGAAGTGTAGAGGAGAGAGAGAGATTTTGGGAAATGTTGAGTGAATGCGTGGGGAGTTTTGAACCAAGTGTGAGAGTACTTGTGGTTGGGGATTTCAATGTTAAAGTGGGTAAAATTGTTGTGGAGGGAGTAGTAGGTAAATTTGGGGTGCCAGGGGTAAATGTAAATGGGGAGCCTTTAATTGAGCCATGTGTAGAAATAGATTTGGTAATAAGTAATACATATTTTATGAAAAAGAGGATAAATAAATATACAAGGTATTATGTAGCACGTAATGAAAGTAGTTTATTAGATTATGTATTGGTGGATAAAAGGTTAGTGGGTAGGCTCCAGGATATACATGTTTATAGAGGGGCAACTGATATATCGGATCATTATTTAGTTGTAGCTACAGTTAGAGTAAGAGGTAGATGGGACAAGAGGAAGATGGCAAAAACAAGTAGGAGGGAAGTGAAAGTGTATAAACTAAGGGAGGAGAAAGTTCGGGTGAGATATAAGCGACTATTGGCAGAAAGGTGGGCTAGTGCAAAGATGAGTAGTGGGGGGGGGTTGAAGAGGGTTGGATGAGTTTTAAAAATGCAGTATTAGAATGTGGGGCAGAAGTTTGTGGTTATAGGAGGGTGGGGTCAGGAGGAAAGAGGAGTGATTGGTGGAATGATGAAGTAAAGGGTGTGATAAAAGAGAAAAAGTTAGCTTATGAGAGGTTTTTACAAAGTAGGAGTGTTATAAGAAGAGCAGAGTACATGGAGAGTAAAAGAAAGGTGAAGAGAGTGGTGAGAGAGTGCAAAAGGAGAGCAGATAATAGAGTGGGAGAGGCGCTGTGGAGGCGTGGTGGAGGATTCTCCTCCACCACGATGCTGTGAACACTAACTCCAAGGCCGAGGGACTGATTACCTCATCTTTTGTATATAGTTCTACTGTCTTCCTATTATGTCCTAGAATCTGTATTGATAAAGCCACTGGATGGCGAAACGTCTACAATAAAGATATCCAGGTGTTGCACATGTGTCTTAACTTTCACATCAGATAAGGTTCACTCGGGTGCTTGCCATACTTCCCCCTCTCTCCACATACACACACAGACTGCTCCAAGGTACTTTTCAGCCCACTGATCTCTGCAAAATTAACTTCTCTCAGTACTGACAAGGGCAGGGACTAACGGTTTCACAATCACAAGTAATCTTCGTACCTGACAGGTTTGTAGATGAACGGTTCAGAGAACCGACATGTTGATAAATTAGACACATGTGCAACTCTTGGGTATCTTTATTGATGGACTGACCACATCGACTCAAGGTTGAGGGACTGATTACCTCATTCTCCTCCTGTTCTTCAAGATTCTCCTTTGTATGGACTGATGAAGCCACTGTGTGGCGAAACGTTTCCTCAATAAAGATACCCAAGAGTTGCACATGTGTCTAATTTATCAATCTTCGTACCTGCATAGGGAAAAACTGAAGAGTAAGTAGGAATGAAAATCCCAAAGACTGCTGTAAAAGGAGGAACGAAGATTTTTTTTATTTCATTCTGGAGGAAAGCACTAAACCCGAAGGGATCACATAGTCCATGGAAAAATGGAAGCATTCATATTTAATCCAAAAATAGTGAGGCTAATTCTAGTTCATAGGAAGAACCTCCACCCTTTGGGTTGGTGAATGTGACGAGGAGGAAACAAAATGTGGATGGATGGAACAACCTGAATTTAAATGGATTTAGACACATAATAGAATATGTTTAGTTAGGAAAATTTAATGATCTCTGCGAAGAAATGGATGAGAGGTAAACAATGAACATCAAAATGGTATACAATACCGACAGGTTGTTAGGTAAGACACATATGCAACAGTTAGACAACTTTATTCCGAAACGTTTCGCCTACACAGTAGGCTTCTTCAGTCGAATACAGAAAGTAGGCAGGAACAGTAGAGATGTGAAGACGATGTAATCAGTCCATCACCCTTGTAGTCGTAGAATTTGTTTCATACTATGGAACAATGCTCTTCTCCAGACTGAGGGAATGACCACCTCAAAACTTTAAGGGTGATGGACTGATTACATCGTCTTCAAGTATCTTCTGCTTCTATCAACTTTTCTGTACTCGACTGAAGAAGCCTACTGTGTAGGTGAAACGTTTCGAAATAAAGATACCTAACTGTTGCATATGTGTCTTACCTAACAACCTGTCGGTATTTTATACCATTTTAATGTTCAATCTGTCAGACACTACAACACAAGGGTATCTTGGTAAAGACCTACAATCAACTTCGACAACCTCTACTAGTGAGAACGGCTGGATTTGAGAGGGACCTGACCTCCCAACATCTGAGTTCTTACCTCTTCTAGTGACCTGCGTCTCACCTCTTGGCGCTATATAAGGCTCCATCCTGTCACTTCATCTCCATATTGTTTCATACTATGGAACAATGCTCTTCTCCAGACTGAGGGACTGACCACCTCAAAACTTTAAGGGTGATGGACTGATTACATCGTCTTCAAGTATCTTCTGCTTCTATCAACTTTTCTGTACTCGACTGAAGAAGCCTACTGTGTAGGCGAAACGTTTCGAAATAAAGATACCTAACTGTTGCATATGTGTCTTACCTAACAAGTCTATCTTCATACGGGAGATTCCTTACACAGTAAATCATTTTAGTCATTCTTCTCTGTATGTTCTCCAATGAGTCTATATCCATCCTGTAGTAAGGAGACCAAAACTGAGCAGCATAATCCAAATGAGGCCTCACCAGTGATGTATAGAGCTGTAAAATAACTTTTGGGCTTCTGTTACTTATGAACATCAAAATGGTATAAAATACCGACAGGTTGGTAGGTAAGACACAAAGGCAACAGTTAGGCAACTTTATTCCGAAACGTTTCGCCTACACAGTAGGCTTCTTCAGTCGAATACAGAAAGTAGGCAGGAACAGTAGAGATGTGAAGACGATGTAATCAGTCCATCACCCTTGAAGTCGTAGAATTTGAGGTTGTCAGTCCCTCAGCCTGGAGAGTTCAGTTCCATAGTCAGTTCCTGACTATGTTAATTTGTCTGACAGTAATATTAGTCAATTTGAATTCGTCAGGAACTGAATAATTGTTAATTTCTGGAATCTCATTTATGTCTTCCTGTGTAAAAACTGACAAAAAATAGTCATTAAATATGGAACACATTTCCAGTTCGTTATCCGTCAGCTGTCCATTCCCAATTTTCAGAGGTCCTACTTTTTCCTTACCTTCGTCCTATACACTTGAAAGAACCCCTTTGGATTGGTCTTTGATTCATTAGCAACTCTAATTTCATAGTCACGTTTAGCCTTTCTAATCCCCTTTATTACTTCTCTTTTAAGCTGAACATATTGGTCAATAAGGTTAATCTCTCCCCTTCTGATGCGCCACCGGTCGTCCCACGCTTCAACCGCACTTGCCTCTACTCTCCATACTCCAGTCCCTCAGCTTAGGGACTGATTACCTCGTCTTATGTATATAGTTCTCCAATCTTCCCATTATGTCCTCGAATTTGTATTGATATAGCCACTGGATGGAGAAACGTCTGCAATAAAGATCCCCAGATGTTGCACATGTATCTAGTTCTTTATCTTGTAGGTACTGTAAACCAAACATATACAATGAATGACATATCTGGATATAAACTATAAACCCTAAATCTTAGTTCTCATTATTAATAATATTTAATATACGAGAGAGGAAGCTAAAAAATATACATGTATATATTTTGAGGTAGAATAAGACATAATGAAGGAAAATTTATTCTCTAATTATTTTTAGCTAATGGAAAATAGAACGTCAGAACTTGTCAAGAAAATTCGTAGACGTGCGTCTCGTGAAAGTCAGATCAAAGGTGTCAGGTATATATGGTTGCAGTTTGTTCCACACAGTGTCTGTGGAATAGAAAAATGAGACAGTAGAACAGTTTATTCTAGGATTAGCAAGAGAGACACAGCAATTACACTGTCCTTATTGTCTCATCTTTTTCTCAGCGGAAACTGATGTGTGGACACTCCATGGGAGAAATTACCACCATATTTCTTACATTCTTTTTTTTTGATAAGTTATAACCAGATGTTGCATATTAATGCTAATAATTATAAATTATTATTATTATTATTATTATTATTATTATTATTATTATTATTATTATTATTATTATTATTATTATTATTATTTATGTATTATTATTATTATTATTATTATTATTATTATTATTATTATTAGTATTATTATTATTAGTATTATTTTTGTTATTATTATTATAATCGTAACTAAGCACTAAACCCACTAGGGTCAAAATAGTATCATAATCTTTCAAAATTTCTTAACAGATTTTAAATCATAGGGGATTCCTTATTCTGTAGGCCTATTTCTGTGTATTTTCGTGTGCTGTATCATAAACGCGTGCGCTGATGCCGCCGGCGTATACCATCAGAAGGAATCATCTACATGAGAAATGCATGTTTATAAATGATGATATACTAGCAGAAGCCTCGAAATAATATTCTTTTCATATGTTAAACTTCTCTGACACAGTTGTTTTTTCTTCAGGCTCCTCGTGAATACATCGTTAATCTGAACAGCAGCCTCACAGAGCATGGACTGACACGGACTCGACTGGGCCTGCAGTTCATGGTATCCCGCGAACACTTTCGCAACGGGGAGATGAAGCTGCGGTGTTCTGCCAAGATTTCCAGTCTGTACTATAAGACGCAGCAGCACAGCGTGGACGGGCAGCTCACCTACAGTGTTCCCGTTATGGAGTCTCGTGATATCTCAGCTTTCTCAGGTGGGAAACCGAGTAACTAATGTACTTATAGTAAACAAAATTAAGTACATTAGCGATGTGCTTCTACCTATTTCTGTTTACTAGTCACATTGTGGGAAAAATTGTCAGATATATTTTCCAGTTATATTCTGTCATACAGGATAGACTTTGTACAATAGGTAACGAAATATATTAGTCTGGTTAACTACTTCGAGCGGAAAAACCGGGTAATCACTGGGAAAGAAGTAATTAACTACGTGACGCCGTAGGAAGTCCGTAGTTAGCCTAATGACTCTTTGGACTTAAGTAGTTAACCACAATACAGTGTAATGGTCGTGGCTGCAGTCTGTAGATTAATTAAATTAGTTCCATTGTTTAATCAGAGGAAACTTAAGATGGTGGTTGTTTATGGGAAGTTGAATGTTCGTTTGGTGAGTCACTGAATGCTGTAAGTTAGTCAATTGACACGTAGAAGGCTTGTAGTCAGGATAATTACAACACAGGTAGTTATCGGTGTTATCCAGGATATCCATGTTACGCTGGTAGTTGCTAAGATAACTTGGCGTAGACGGTGGTTATACAGGAGAAGTTTATCAAGTGACCCCTGTGATAAATATTAAACAGGTGACCAGTGTGGTAGAAGTTGAACAGGTGACCCGTTTGGTAGAAGTTGAACAGGTGACCCGTGTGGTAGAAGTTGAACAGGTGACCCGTGTGGTAGAAGTTGAACAGGTGACCTGTGTAAGAGTGACCTGTGTGGTAGAAGTTAAACAGGTGACAAATATGGTAGAAGACAAATAGGTAACCCGTTTGATAAAAGTTAGAAAAGTGACCTGTTTAAGAGTAATAGTGGTTAAACAGGTGACCCACGTGATGTGGTTAAGCAAATAATTGCTACATATCACAGTGGATACTGAGGTGTGACAGTGGTTAAGCTTCGACCAACACACTGGAAAAGAATAAGAACTATTAAGAAACAATGGCAAGTGTGTAATAAATGTAAGATGTTACCAAGATATACTTGCCATCTTACTTGTAAATAAGACTTAGTAAACATTGTAAACATTTAGCAATGAATGTAATTCTATTTATTTCATAAATTTTCCTTCACTTATTATTTGGTATTTAGGTTTTTCAAAAAAATAAGTATATCGTTGCTCTGTTACGGAGCATTGGTTGTACTTTTTTAATTTAGGCTTTGGTTATAATTTGAATGTGAATTATTGTGTATTTGAGTGAATAATTTTCCCATAACTTTTCCCACAGCTGTGTCAGCATTTTGTGCAATTACGAAAATTTTTGTCTTTGATAAATATGCTTTTATGAAGATTTTCACATAAATCGATTATTGCTTTGCAGGAAACGTTAATTGTGTTGTATATATTTACTGATCCTCTTTCGAGTGTTCTTTCACACAACTTCAGTTGGAATTTTTACTACCTGGTATGTTCTACAGGTGGGCGGAGCTACAGCAGTGGAGAGCAGGTGCAGCAGGTGGTTTTAGCGACGGTGACGCTGTTGTTGCAGCTGCTGTGCACGTCGGCGCTGGTCATCACTACTAGTTGACTCCTCACCGCATCCTTCATTCTCTTGCATTCAGTAGTGCCCTCACTAGTGTGAATTGTTCCCATTTAAATTTTTAGTACGAAGTAAATATATTGTTAATGGATATAGAGACTGTAGCTGTGTGTTTGTGCGGGAAGAATGGAGCTACAAGATACAGCAGCGTACAGACAACAGTATATTGAAAAAAACACAGGTACACAGCAAGATTTTATTGTAACAGTTCGCTGTGTACTCTTTTCAGCTACACAGAAGTACACATCAACAATACAAGACTGCTAGCTTGCTATGTTCCTGTCTTTTCTTCATTACTGATGATGCAGTTTCGTGCCAGCTTCCATAGCATCATTCTATTGTTTGTATATTTTTGGGGATAGATTAATGGTACACAAAAAAAATGGCTTTGTGCGCCTAGTTAGTACTGTGTTGGTTGAGTGCAAGTAAACTCTTGCATATTACCGAGACATAAAGGGCGCTGCTGTACCTGGCCCTTTTGGGACTCTGGCAGATGAGGTAGTCATGTGACCACTTTGTAAATATTAAATCTCTCTTTCACTTACTCTGTAGTAGAATATATTATATTATAATAATGGGGGAAGCGCTAAATTCATAGTACTTATATAGCGCCTGTGAATAGGACGTAATCAGGTTTGATCAAAGGAAAGGGAGGGTAACCCCAAATCCTTGTATCAAGAGTCCTTCAACATCAAGACGCTCCTATGATTGGGTAGAAGGTTTTATTCCTAACATTCCGAGTTTTATTAAAAATCACGTAACTGTTTAGGCTTCAACTTTGCTGCCTTGACGAAGTGTTCTTGAATTGCAGCAACGATATACATAAACCAGTTTGGTATGTATTTTTAAATCATCCTTTTGTAACACAGATTTTTCAGCGATTAAATCTCCTGCACTCAAAGTCTTTACTTACGCTTATAGTCATTTTCGTAAGAGATAAGAGTCCGTATATGATCTGATAGAGTAGCTATATTTATATATGTATTATTAAGTTATGTTCCTGTATTTCGTAACTACGTTTTTCTTCATCACCTCTGTAAATGTCTGACGAAAACGAATCAGAGACCCGTTCAAGGGATATTAACTACACAAGTTGCAGCCAACCCCAGTAGTTCACAGCAACAGAGCGTCCTCTTATAAGAGTACAGTAAATACTCACACAGTGAGTGTTTAGTTCTGTTTATATGACACACACACACACACACACACACACACACACACACACACACACACACACACACACACACACACACACACCTACACACACAAACACACATACACACACACACATACACATCACAGTCTTCAATCATAGAGTTGTCGGGAAGTGGAATAGTTTGAGTAGTGATGTATTGGAAGCAGGATCCATACATAGCTTTAAGAAGAGGTATGATAAAGCTCATGGAGCGGGAGGAGTGACCTAGTAGCGGCCAGCGACAACCACAACTAGGTGAGTGCAACTAGGTGAGTATACACACACACACATACACACACACAAACACACACACACACACACACACACACACACACACACACACACACACACACACACACACACACACACACACACACACACACACACACACACACACACACACACACACACGTGTATAGTATGCAAAGTCATGGAGAAGATCATCAGGAGGAGAGTGGTGGAGCACCTGTAATGAAACAAGTGTATAATCGACAATCAGCATGGTTTCAAGGAAGGAAAATCCTGTGTTACAAACCTACTGGAGTTTTATGACAGGGTGACAAAAGTAAGACAAGAGAGAGAGGAGTGGATAGACTGCATTTTCTTGGACTGCAAGAAGGCCTTCGATACAGTTCCTCACAAGAGGTTCCTGCAAAAGCTAGAGGATCAGGCACACATAACAGGAAAGGCACTGCAATGGATCAGAGAATACCTGACAGGGAGGCAACAACGAGTAATGGTGCGTGACGAAGTGTCAGAGTGGGCGCCTGTGACAAGCGGGGTTCCGCAGGGGTCAGTCCTAGGACCTGTGCTGTTTTTGGTATATGTGAATGCCATAGCGGACTCAGAAGTATCCTTGTTTGCAGATGATGTGAAATTAATGAGGAGAATCAAATCGGTCGAGGATCAGGCAGGATTACAAAGAGACCTGGACAGGCTACAAGCCTGGTCCAGAAACTGACTCCTTGAGTTTAAATCTGCCAAATGCAAATTCATGAAGATCGGGGAAGGGCAAAGAAGACCACAGACACAGTATAGTCTAGATGGCCAAAGACTGCAAAACTCACTCAAGGAAAAAGATCTGGGGGTGAGTATAACACCGAGCATATCTCCTGAGGCGCACATCAATCAGATAACTGCTGCAGCGTACGGGCGTCTGGCAAACCTAAGGATAGCTTTCAGATATCTAAGTAAGGAATCGCTCAAGACTATGTACACCATTTACGTCAGTCCCATACTGGAGTATGCAGCACCAGTTTGGAATCCACACCTGGTCAAGCACGTCAAGAAAATAGAGAAAGTGCAAAGGTTTGCAACAAGACTAGTCCCAGAGCTGAGGGGAATGTCCTACGAAGAAAGGTTGAGGGAAATCGGCCTGACGACACTGGAGGAAAGGAGGGTCAGAGGAGATATGATAACGGCCTACAAGATACTGCGCGGAATAGACAAGGTGGACAAAGACGAGATGTTCCAGAGATGGGACACAGAAACAAGGGGCCACAATTGGAAGTTGAAGACTCAGATAAATCAAAGGGATGTTAGGAAGTATTTCTTCAGTCATAGAGTAGTTAGGCAGTGGAATAGCCTGGAAAGTGACGTAGTGGAGGCGGGAACCATACATAGTTTTAAGACGAGGTTTGACAAAGCTTATGGAGCAGGGAGAGAGAGGACCTAGTAGCAATCAGTGAAGAGGCGGGGCCAGGAGCTATGAATCGACCCCTGCAACCACAAATAGGTGAGTATATACACACACACACACCGATTTGAAGAGGATCACACAGTGAAAACAGGGACATTGTCAGAAAGCCATGGAAAAAAAGAGTGCACTGAGGGAACGCAATGTACCGCGTGTTTGGTGATGCACAACAGGGTGACAGGTATAGAAACGTTTGATGGAGCTGGATATATGAAAAGGAATGGGCTCTGACACGTTGTTACCATGGAATCTGCGAGAGGAAGCAGTAGCTGTGTCAGAATCACTTTGTCTAAAACCTACAGCAAGTCAATGAACACTGACCAGATGCCTAAGGTTTGAAAAATACCGAATGCAGTCCCTATATTTAAGAAAGGATAGAGACAAGCATTAATAAGCTACAGACTGCTTTCACTGACAAGCATATCATGCAAGGTAACAGCAAAGATTATTGGAGGGAAGTGGAAGAGTACTTGGATATAAGTAGCTCATAAAAATAACTTGAACGGGCTTGGAGTTCTATGACAAACAGACGTGGAGCAGGACAGAGGGGGATGAATGGACTGCATTTTCTGAGAACGCAAGAAAATATTTGAGACTGCATACCTCAAGAAATTGTGGCAAGAACTTGATCTGCAGCTAAAAGTAACATGGAACGTACTCCAGTTGGACATAAAGTATCTTAGGAAAAAGAAAAGTAGAGTGATTGTCAGGGAAGATTTTGTCAGACTGGAGAAGAGCAACGATCCGCTACGATCAGGAATAAAACCAGTATCGTGTCTTGTTTAAGTGAATGATGATCCAAATGAGATTAGATGAATTAGATGAGCCCCTGTTTACTGATAATTTAAAACCAATGAGGACAATGAAAACAGTGAAAGACAAAGAAAACCTACAAATGGATCAGGATAAACTGCAAGAGTGATATCAGATAAATAGTTGCTTGAATTCTACCTCAGCAAATGACAGGTTTTAAATAATAGGGAAGGGGCAAAAAAATGTACGGTGCATATACTCAAGGAGCATTGTCTGCTAGCTTCACTCGAAAAGACCTAGTGCTGACCATAGTGCCGAGCATGTCGCCAGAGCTTCACATAAGCCGAATAAACTCAGCAGCTAATGCTCGTCTTGCAAATCTAGGAGATGCCTTCATGAATCTCAGCAAAGAATCATTAAGAACCTTTTATACAACAAATTTGTGGCCATTTTGGATGTAGCAGCATCAGCATAAAATCCAGTTCTAAAAAAGCATGTTAAGAAACGAAAGATGTGCATAGGTATACAACGAATCTCATTCCAGATCATAGGGATGTGATCCACAAGAGGATAAAGGAAATTAGTCTGACAACACTGGAGGACAAAAAAGCCAGAAGAGACGTGATAATAACATGCAAATACACTCAAAATAAATATTAGAATAGAAAGGGACACGCTGTCTGACAAGCAGGGGAACAGAAATTCGGGGCACACAAATGCATGTTAAGGCACAGATGAGCCACAACGATGTCTGGAAGTATTTCTTAAGTCTCAGAGTGGTTTGAAAGATGGGTAACCTCAACGAAGAAGTGACTTATGCAGTTTCATACATACAGTGGTTGTCAGTGTAGATACCCTATGGCAAGTGAACAGACAAGCGGTAAGTTTGAGAAGCGGGGCCAGGAGCTAAATTTAGACCCCTGTATCCCCATACAGGTAAGTATTCACAAACACACACACACACTCCCACACACCCACACACCCACACAAACAAACCTTGTAGTGACCAGCGAAGAATCAGGCACAGTAGTTATGACTTGTCCCCAGCAACCAAAACTAGGTGAGTACAACATGGTGAGTACACACACACACACACCCACACACACACATACACACACACACACGCACACACACACACACACACACACATACACACACACACACCACACACACACACACACACACACACACACACACACATACACACACACACACACACACACACACACACACACACACACACACACACACACACACACACACACACACACATCAGTCATAGAGTAGTCAGGCCTTGGAATAGCCTAGAAAGTGATGTAGTGGAGGCAGGAACCATATATAGTTTTAAGGCGAGGTATGATAGAGCTCATGGGGCAGGGAGAGAGAGGACCTAGTAGCAATCAGCGAAGAGGCGGGGCCAGGAGCTGTGACTCGACCCCTGCAACCACAAATAGGTGAGTACAAATAGGTGAGTACACAAACACACACACACACACACACACACACACACACACAAGGGAGAAAATGACCACATACAGGCAGGATCCAGAGTCACAGTGGGTGAGGCAATGGGAGGAGGGAAGGGCAAAATCAGTGTTTATCCATGGGCTTCAGGAAAGAGAGGAAAGGACACACACTGAAAAGCGGCAGGAAGAAAGAAGATTGAGAAAATCATCACGGAAATAGGTAAAGAGATGGACGAGATTGTAAATTTTCAGAGAATAGGGGGGTACTCGAAGGGGAGAAACCGACCGATCAAGCTGATTCTCAGGACGGAAACAGTGCGGAACAGGATCCTCCAAGAGAAACCCCAGTTGAAATACTCGGAATAGTACAAGAGGGTGTTCTTAGACAGAGACAGAACACAAACAGAACGACAGCAGCTGAGGGAGAGGACAAAAAAGCGAAAGGAGCTAGGAAAGGAGACAAGAATGGAACCAACAGAGGTCAGTCAGAGCAGAACAGAGCAGCAAGGGCAAGCACACACACAACTATTCTCAGAACCCCACAACCTATCACACCATCCCAACACACACTACAATCCATACCCACAGCCTCCACCCAACACCGAGCTATAGAATCCCACAGTATGCTACCAGGTCTCCCACCCTCACAGGCCCCCCAAACCACAGAGTTGGAAAGGAAACTGAAGGAATGGTACACAAACGCTGATGGAATAACAAACAAGTGGGAGGAGTGGCACAGAAGAGTCAAAGAGGCATCACCAGACATCATAGCTCTCACAGAAACCAAGCTTACAGGTATGATAACATATGCCATCTTTCCAACGGGATACCAGATCCTGAGGAAAGACAGAGGGAACAGGAGGGGGTGGAGGAGTGTCATTGCTGATCAAAAATCGATGGAATTTTGATGAGCTGGAGAGAGGAGACAGTGGAGAAGAAAGTGATTACATAGCGGGAACGCTTCTCTCTGGAGGTCCCAAGGTGGTAATAGCAGTGATGTATAACCCATCACAGAACAGCAGGAGGCCAAGGCAAGAGTACGACGAGAGCAATAGAACGATGGTTAACACATTGGCTGCAGTGGCCAGAAGAGCTCATGCATGCAGGGCAAAGCTCCTGATCATGGGTGACTTTAACCACAAGGAGATCGATTGGGAGAACTTGGAGCCACATGCGGGCCAAGATACATGGAGGGCTAAGATGATGGAGGTGGCACTGGAAAACTTCATGTACCAACACGTAAGGGACACTATAAGAGAGAGAGGAGAGTATGAACCAGCAAGGCTGTACCTAGTATTCACCTTGATTAGTGCAGATATCGAGGACATCACATATGAAAGACCCCTTGGGGCCAGCGATCATGTGGTTTTAAGCTTCGAATCCACAGTAGAGCTACAAGTGGAGGAAGAAGCAGGAAGGCCAGGACGAATGAAGCCAAACTACAAGAAAGGGAACTACACAGGAATGAGGAACTTCCTGAACGGGGCTCAGTGGGACAGAGAAATGGCAGGGAAGCCAGTTAATGAGATGGTGGAATATGTTGCAACAATATGCAAGGAGGCTGAGGAGAGGTTTGTACCCAAGGGTAACAAGAATATTGAAAAGGCAGGATGAGCCCATGGTTCATCCAAAGGTGCAGGGAGGCAAAAACCAAGTGTGCTAGGGAATGGAAGAAATATAGAAGGCAAAGGACCCAGGAGATTAAGGAGAGCAGTCGTAGAGCCAGAAACGAATATGCACAGATAAGAAGGGAAGCCCAAAGACAATATGAAAACGACAAAGCAGCGAAAGCCCAATCTGACCCGAAACTGTTATACAGCCACATCAGGAGGAAAATAACAGTCAAGGACCAGGTAATCAGGCTAAGGAAGGAAGGAGGAGAGACAACAAGAAATGACCGTGAAGTATGTGAGGAACTCAACAAGAGATTCAAATAAGTGTTCACAGAGGAGACAGAAGGGGCTCCAGAAAGACGGAGAGGTGGGGTACACCACAATGTGCTGGACACAGTGCACACAACCGAGGAAGAAGTGAAGAGGCTTCTGAGTGAGCTAGATACCTCAAGGCAATGGGGCCAGATAACATCTCCCCATGAGTATTGAGAGAGGGAGCAGAGGCGCTATGTTTACCCCTAACAACAATATTCAATACATCTATCGAAACAGGGAGATTGCCTGAGGCATGGAAGACAGCAAATGTAGTCCCAATCTTTAAAAAAGGAGACAGACATGAAGCACTAAACTACAGACCAGCGTCACTGACATGTATAGTATGCAAAATCATGGAGAAGATTATCAGGAGAAGAGTGGTGGAACACCTAGAAAGGAATGATCTCATCAACAGCAGCCAACATGGTTTCAGGGACGGGAAATCATGTGTCACAAACCTACTGGAATTCTATGACATGGTGACAGCAGTAAGACAAGAGAGAGAGGGGTGGGCGGATTGCATATTCTTGGACTGCAAGAAGGCGTTTGACTCAGTTCCACACAAGAGATTGGTGCAAAAACTGGAGGACCAAGCCGGGATAACAGGGAAGGCACTACAATGGATCAGGGAATACTTGTCAGGAAGACAGCAGCGAGTCATGGTACGTGGCGAGGTGTCAGAGTGGGCACCTGTGACCAGCGGGGTCCCACAGGGGTCAGTCCTAGGACCAGTGCTGTTTCTGGTATTTGTGAACGACATGACGGAAGGAATAGACTCTGAGGTGTCCCTGTTTGCAGATGACGTGAAGTTGATGAGAAGAATTCACTCGATCGAAGACCAGGCAGAACTACAAAGGGATCTGGACAGGCTGCAAACCTGGTCCAGCAATTGGCTCTTGGAGTTCAATCCCACCAAGTGCAAAGTCATGAAGGTTGGGGAAGGGCAAAGAAGACCGCAGACGGAGTACAGTCTAGGGGGCCAGAGACTACAAACCTCACTCAAGGAAAAAGATCTTGGGGTGAGTATAACACCAGGCACATCTCCTGAAGAGCACATCAACCAAATAACGGCTGCAGCATATGGGCGCATAGCAAACCTCAGAACAGCATTCCGACATCTTAATAAGGAATCGTTCAGGACCCTGTACACCGTGTACGTTAGGCCCATATTGGAGTATGCGGCACCAGTTTGGAACCCACACCTAGCCAAGCAAGTAAAGAAACTCGAGAAAGTGCAAAGGTTTGCAACAAGACTAGTCCCAGAGGTAAGAGGTATGTCCTACTAGGAGAGGTTAAGGGAAATCAACCTGACGACACTGGAGGACAGGAGAGATAGGGGGGACATGATAACGACATACAAAATACTGAGAGGAATTGACAAGGTGGACAAAGACAGGATATTCCAGAGATGGGACACGGTAACAAGGGGACACAGTTGGAAGTTGAAGACATAGATGAATCACAGGGATGTTAGGAAGTATTTCTTCAGCCACAGAGTAGTCAGTAAGTGGTATAGTTTGGGAAGCGATGTAGTGGAGGCAGGATCCATACATAGCTTCAAGCAGAGGTATAATAAAGCTCACGGTTCAGGGAGAGTGACCTAGTAGCGATCAGTGAAGAGGCTGGGCCAGGAGCTCGGACTTGACCCCTGCAACCTCAACTAGGTGAGTACAACTAGGTGAGTACACGCACCCACACACACACACACACACACACACACACACACACACACACACACACACACACACACACACACACACACACACACACACGAGAGGAACTACTTGTGTAGCACTGTAGACATCATCGTGTTCGTCAGATATCACTGTGACAGAAGCTTGTAGAGGAATTTATTCACTGTTCGTAGTTTTCTATCTACCTGTATATACGTTCAGTGTTCAGAATTTATCAAACCTTTAAATACCTTAATGTATAAGGAAAGAAATGAACAAAGAAATAGTTTATTTATTCCGTTTCTCATATTCTAATCCAATTATTATGATTATGTCGTTCTGGTGAATATAATGAACGAGTGCCATTGAATTCTTTCTTTTGCTATGTTGAAACTGACCCAGTTTATGCTCCGATTGTTATTATTATTATTATTATTATTATTATTATTATTATTATTATTATTATTATTATTAGTATAGTAGTAGTAGTAGTAGTAGTAGTAGTAGTAGTAGTAGTAGCAGTAGTAGTAGTAGTAGTAGTAGAAGTAGTAGCAGTATTAGTAGGAGTAGTATTAGTATAAGTATTAGTATTTGTATTAGTATTAGGAGTAGTAATTGTAGCATTAATATTACTAGCAGTAGTAGCTGTAGTAATCGTTATTGTTTTGATTATTATTATTATTATTATTATTATTATTATTATTATTATTATTATTATTATTATTATTATTATTATTATTATTATTATTATTGTTGTTATTATTATTACCATTATTATTGATAGTAGTAGTAGTAGTAGTAGTAATAGTAGTAGTAGTAGCAGTAGTAGTAGCAGTAATAGGAGTAGTGGTATGAGTTGTAGAAGTAGTAGTAGTAGTAGTATTAGCAGTTGTAGTTGTAGTAGTAGTAGTTATTATTATTATTATTATTATTATTATTATTATTATTATTATTATTATTATTATTATTATTATTATTATTATTATTATTATTATTATTATAATTACAAATCGCTAAAACGCGTGTTTAGAACCAAACTTTAAGTTGCGAACTAACCTAAGACTTCGACGTCTG